TAAGTATTTGTGATCTCTACAGCACCTTTTCCTTGTCAATTATTGTGACACTATTCATGTCTTCCAAAAGCCATTATTAATTCATACCTGTATTGATTTATACTTTTTTCTTGTCAATCTCCTTTTGTTTTTTTTTTTTTTTTTTTTTTTGCCTTTTTAAGTATCTGGGCTATCTGGAAGCGCTGAAACTGCTCAAAGCCAGGTCTCAGTTGGAATAGGCTTGCTAGCTGGCTCAACAGTCATGCTTCTCACGGTTATATGGGGTGCGTGTGTTACTGTAGGCAAGTGTGACATAGAGAACCATGTTGCCAAAGATTTACAGGATACAAAAGGATTCAGCTTGACTGGTATGTCTCTTGGGCTCTCATGCTTTCCTTCTACTGGCATGTTAAGGAAGGCTTCCTACTTACTTTTGAAGAATGCTATGTTGTATTTATTTTCTTGATAAGTAAATTAGACTAAGTTACTGAATCGCAGGCAATGCATGCAGAAGTTTGTAATGCTAAGCTAGAATCTGCACTCATTCAAGATTGTTAATTTGATTAGCATTTTGCTGCGCCAGATTACACCCCCCCTCCCGGGGGGGGGGGGTGTTTACACATTTGTAACTATAAAGCTGCTTGTCTCAGTGTGTGAGTGAGATCGAGAGAGAGTCCATTTGTGCATGTCCATTCCAATGAGCCTGTGGAGGGATTCATGTTTGCTTGAGCCATTCATTAGCTGCTCTAAATGTTATGTACATTGAACTTTTTCCATAAAGTGGAGGAAGAGTTGGTGTCGAAATAGGAGTTTCTTTTTTCTTGTGGATTGCCTTATTGGGCGTGTTTAACATCAAATGTAGCAAATTATGTTGAAGTGAGGTTTGGAAGATGATATGTTGTTTTCTGTTTTTGGCTTATTTTAACTACATTTGATTTTGCTGTATTTTGGAAATTTGAACTCATATGTGAAAACAGAAATGTAGTTAAGGTCTATAAGGAGTATGTTTTCAATAGTTTTCCTGACTCTTTAGGCTTGCTATAATGCGACTTTTTGTCAAAATTAGCAGCTGTTATGCTCCTCTAGTATCATTTCATCAGCTTTGATGTGGCTTCAGAAGTAATCCTCCCAAATAGGTCATTGAGTGTGAGATGGTGCTGTATTTGATTTTCTTTGAATTTATTTATACATGCAGGCTCTGGTGTCAGTACTGATATCTGGACATGCTATGCTGCAATCATCATGGCTGTTTCTGTGCTCCCATTTTTAGTAGTCCAACTACCTCAAATGCTCAAGTCAAATTCTGGAAGACACTTAGCGGTCTTGATTGCTCTTATTGTCTCCGTTGCACTTCTGATTTCCTATTGCCTATATCAGGTAGTTTTCTTCTTCCTATTTTCTATGGCAGGAGAGGGTTGGGGTATGACTGCATGCTAGCAGTTCTCCTCTACATCCTTGCTTGGTCAAGAAAGATAGTGCATCTTTGTGTGTACTTGAGAGTGCAAAAATCTTGAACTTTTGTGCAAACTTTACACTTTGAATTGTCTTATGATGCAAAAAAACTTAATTGTCACCCTTGTCATGAATGCATTCGATGGTCACCCTTGTTGTGAGTGCATAGTAATTAATACTCTGGATTGGGTGCAAAGCAAGCTTAACATGCCTAAGACCACAGTGCATATTAGCAGCTTCTTGTCTCTATACAGTAGGCTTTCCCAACATACTGATTTCTTTTAGGATGCTATGCTATTGGAGACTTGGTATATCCTAACGCTACGCAATGAAATTGTATGTTAGGAGCAATTTGTGTCTTGAATTTAATAATTCTGCAGTAGTGCATCAGTATGATAGTTGTAGCCAAGATATCGTCTGTTCTCGGGTGATTTATATTTATATATTATTCGAGAGAAGTGTAAATAAGTCATTGTTACATACATACATACATATATGGTGTGAAAGCATTCAAGGGTGTTTATTTTATTAAAAAAAAAGGAAAATTTAATGAAAATGCGTCAGTAGAAGTTAAGGTAAAATCATATTTGAAAAGCGAAGAAAGATATTTTAAATGAAATTGTAGCTTACAAATGCTAGTATCAGCCCCTTTTTATTTTAACTTGAAACATTACTGGAAGGTAGGAATCTCTGACTCTTTGGAGAGCAGTACTCAATTGCTTTTGCTGCATGTTTAATGACACTTGAGATAGTCTTCATCATTGCTGCTTCAGTCTGTCTGTCTCTTTGTCTCTCTGTCTCTCTCTCTCTCCACTTTGAAATGATGTCTTTATCTTGAATACCTGATTCTATTTCCTTTTTCCTCAAACGGAGCTTTGCAGGTGTTTCAGCCTTGGATACAGAGGAGACGGCTAGCATTCACAAAGCATAAGCGTGTGATTTCAGGCATTCTGAACCATTTGAAAATGCGAGCCTTAGGGAGGCTTTGTAATGATGACGGGACAATTAATATGGAGGTCTTAGAAAAGTATGTGATGCTTCTGCTGCAGCTGATTTTTAGTTATTCAGCATTCTGTACACCTTTCAATGGCTAAACATCTTTGATTCATTGTCCATTTTCTTTCTGGCTTGATTTATGAACCAGGCTTTTTAACACAATTGATGAGGATAAAGATGGATACCTCTCTTCTTCTGAATTAAGAGCACTGGTCATAGGAATCCGCTTTGAAGAGATAAATCTGGATGAGAATGATGCCGTAGAGAAGGTGATGAAGGATTTTGACACGTCTCGAGATTCTCTAATTAGTTTCGATGAATTTTCTTATGGTATTTCAAGATGGCTTGATGAAGCCAAGGGTTCCAGAGCTTCTCAGGCTGGTCCTGGTACAATGAAGTATTTGGAAGATTTTCATGAGGTATGTGCTTTTTCCGGCTTTGACCAGGGAGCTTGATCTCCAAAATGATTATGACACTATTGAGACATTTTTGCAGCAAACAAAGAGAGAACATTACTTTTTAGGGGAGCAGAGTGATGAAATTGTTGAGGGTGTTGACAACCCCCGGTGGACCACAATTAAGGCTGTATTACTGTTGTTATTGGGGACTGTTATTGCCGCTGTATTTGCGGATCCCTTGGTTGACGCTGTTGATAATTTTTCAAGTGCTACAAGTATTCCTTCTTTTTTCATCTCATTCATTGCACTGCCACTGGCAACCAACTCTAGTGAGGCAGTATCAGCAATTATATTTGCCACCCGCAAGAAGCTAAGATCTGCTTCTTTGACATTTTCAGAGGTCTGATTTTCCATTTGTTGTTTCTTATTTTGATATTTTACAACTTTTGTCCTATATGAAGGTGCATTCTTACGTCCCTCCCCGACCTACCCCTCTTCCTCCCCCATAAAAGAAGAAGAGCAATTAATTGCAGATGTTTCCTAGCATACCCATAACATGCTCTGGGCAATTACAAGGTTAAAAACTGAGGTGCTGGAAAAGGGATTGATTAATGGGATGGGGGCGGGGCTCCTTGCCAGCTTGTGTCTGGTTTATGGTTTTGTTTTCGAAGTGGCTCAATCAGTATGGACATTCTCTACAATTTTTTAGAAAAGAGTGCTTTCTATTAAATTCTAATGATTAAGGATAGTCCTGTCTATTCTCGCACCAGGCTTCAGACATTATGAGGCTATGAATGCTAGATACAGGCAGCCATTGCAAGCAGATAGTTTATATTGCATCAAATGCATGGCCATCCCTACTGATAGTGTATTCCTTCAAGCTTCAAGCTTTTCTTCTTGATTTTTCTGTTTTTGGTGAGAGGGGGGGGGGGTCTCCAAAAGGTGAAAAGAGGGTTCAATATTGGAACAAATGCTCACCAACCTCACAACAGTCACCTCTTTCTTCTTCTTCCCCCTCCTTTCCTTTATTATTTATTTATTTATTTATTTGTTTTTGAATCCCAAGCACGCAACTGTTGCTGTCTTGCTGAAAAGTTGCGTGCTGTCTTGCTGAAAAACTTTTCATGGTATTTTTGATACTTACAAGTCTATTACTGGTAGATCAATCCCAAGTCTATTCTTGATACTTTTGTGGGTGCTGAAGTTGACTTCGTTGATCTTTCTTGGTTTTTTTTTATCTTATTCCCTTCTTTGTGACCTGTCTCTGGTATTTCATTTTCCTTTTGGTAGCACGCCCCTACAAAAGTTGTCCAAATATCTTCTGACCGAAATTCGGCTTTATGTGCAGCTCTTTTATTTCAGATCCTACTTGATAATTCTGATCTCAAACTTATTCTGTCCTTGCAGTTGTATGGAGCTGTGACTATGAACAACGTGTTGTGTCTATCAGTCTTTTTGGCCCTTGTATACGCTAGAGGCCTGACGTGGGACTTCTCATCTGAAGTGTTGGTTATCTTGATCGTTTGCATCGTCATGGGAATCTTCGGCAGTCTTCGCACTACATTTCCTCTTTGGACCAGTCTGATAGCTTTCCTGCTGTACCCATTTTCCCTGGCACTTGTTTACGTTCTTGACTATGTTTTCGGTTGGTCATAGATTGTCGGGCTGGTACCCTCGTTTGGCTCTTAAATTGACGAGAAGTCTGGGTTTAAATATTGTACTACCTGAGTGACTTTTTTTGGATCCTGATCACAAACACACACACCGGGAATTAATATGATGATGTAGGAATGTCTTTTTTACTCTCTATATGAACAGCTGTACCGGCATTGCCTCCTCCCCTCTTTGTATTTGGATTGCCTACTTTTTATTGGCATTTTTCGGTCGTGTAGACTGAGTTTTGACCTTTTGTATTAAAGTTGTAAGATATTTTGAGGTATCGCTCTTGGTTTTGCCTTCCAAGTATTTCAACATATTCTAAGCTGAAAAAGTCGATTTGGAGAAGTAGTAGTATAATGTGCTTTTAGGATGTTTTTAAACGTCTTTACCATATTCCTACTATTGTAAACTATTATAATTTATAGTACAGAGAACGCTAAACCTTTGGTTTAATGTAATTATAAACACTAGCTAGAGTCAAAGCACTGCAATCTGAGAAGAGTAAAAACACAATGATTATGAGAATGAGTAGTAACTTACAGGCTCAATGTTTTCATATGACCTCAAATATATCCTCGACACTTTCTACTACAACCTAATTGGATAATTTTGGCCTTGGGGAGGTCGGAAGAAGGGATGGGGGGCGGGGGAAGAAGTTGATTAAAAGCTTTCTGTAGAACAGTAGAAGGCATGATACTCTCTTTTTCTCCTATTTAAAATTACTTTCATCTGTTTTCACTTCATTGGAGGAGCTGGTGGGATAAAACAACTTGGAAGCCATCCAAACTTCCACCCCACCAAAAGCCCCCCCAAAAAAGATCCAAGTCAGCAGAACCACCAAACTTCCATTGCGTAGAAATTAAAAACTCGAGATGTGGAACCACATGCAAAACTATCTTCATTCTTTTGTCTATCAACGTGCCTTAAACATATGGAAGTCGAATTACTACTTGGAAGAGTAGATTTCTTCTGTACCAGGTGATCCATCAACAAGGCACTAACAATCGCTGCAAGAAATGAATAGCCATATCAAAGAGCAGAGCAGGGCAAAATGGCCTACAGTTGCGATTCAGCAAAAAACCAGGGATGGCATCTATAGCCTCAAACTAAGATCAACATTTTCTCCTACTTCACCATTGCAGTTGTCTGCTGGGGCTGCCACCTGGCCAACCTGCTTCTTAGCTGCAGGGAAGAAGCTAAAGAAAGGCGGCCGCATTGATTTGCTCGACCCTTGGCCTTGGATGGTATCGTCACTGCTTCCCTGCAATATATGACGAACGCAAACTATTCAAAGACGATCAACTTGAGACCATAAAAACTGAAGGAGAAACCCAAAAGAAGCCACTAAGTAGTATGATCTAGGTCCTCGGGTTTCTTACTTGGCTTGGCTGAGATCCCAATTCAGATAAGCTCTGGGGCCCTGAATTCGATAAAAAATGCCTGTACTGTGAATTCAAATTTGGGGCAACAGCTGCTGGAGGCGCCAATGTAAGAAAATCTCCATCCAGGCCTCCATTTTGTCTGATGTTCACTTCCTTATGGGTTGTTTCAGCCTGGGTGCTTGATCTTGAAGGGCCTTCTCTGAAACTGATACAAGGATACTGTCAGAATATAGTAGTAACTTTTGACTGACGCAGGAAATATTATGCTAGATCAAGGTAGACCTGGTAACTGGAAATTCTGGTTCAGTAGTGGCGGTGCACCTGTTGCTGCATGAAGCAGGTTCATCTAATCGTGGTATGGGAGCAACGTAGCAAGGAGGATATCTGAAGTGAAAAGCAGGGGCTGGTGGAGTTTCCATAGAGAAGGGATATGGCCTCTTCATGCCAATCATCTACATTAATTACATCATAAAAGGATTACAATCATCTACATATGAAACATAGGACTGAACTAAGAAAAGTAATAGCAAAACAGAAACGCCATAAACCTAGACGGAATGATTCTAATGTGCAAACAGGAGGAACATTACATTCAGTTACTCAATTTGGCAAAAGAGGAAAACTTTACTCAATTTGTTCACACATCACAGGTGCAATCAACACTAAAATACAGAATTTCAGTAGCAAAACAAACTAAAAATCTAGAACAACTAAGAAAGCTGTCCTGGGAATCTCATTACTAGATGTTGACATATTCCGCTTGATTTCAAAAACCCAAAGAATCTATTTTCAACAGTTCATTGAATAAAGGAAAGAAAACTATTACCTTCTCTTCATCTGGCCACAAAGGTGTGTAGTTGCTCGCACAAAAATTTTGGTTTGAAGGGGGCTCCATCTGGAAATTCAGTATAGGTGATGATGAAATCGCTGATGAGATATTCACCTGCAATTACCAACAAATCATTTTCCTAAATGATCCCTCCAAAGACAAATACAACAGCTGATTACTAACGCAGATGTCAAAAAAAACAACAAAGAGCTTCACCAACCATCGATGAAGAAGATGGTGGCTGAAATTGTTGTGATCTTTGCAACACATTTGGGAGGGACAAAAAGGGAGTGGGATTGCTGGAATCAAAAGGCAAATTCGCATTGGACCGGTACACGAATCCAAGATGATCCAACCTCTGACTCTCCCCATCAGTACTAAATTCACCGTTCCACACTTTAGGCAGAGCAGGGACAGCGGACCATCCTATCTCACCTCCTCCTTCAACGTTGAACGGTTTCGGCAGTGGAACAGAGTTTGTATGCATAATATCAACACTCGGGATTGATGGGGTTGGCCTAAACAAAGAATTCGGCGAAGGAAGATCACTGGGTGATGGCGGTGGCAAAGGCACCGAATGACAAGAAGAAATACTAGGCCTAAATGCGGGGCATTGAGCAGCTAAACATGGAGAAGAATTACTAGGCGATATAATCTGATTAGGTGGCAATACATTGGCAGCTTGTAAAACTGCCCCTTTTTTCTGCTGTTCCTCCAATCTAATCTTCTCGAGCTGGGCAACACCTAACCCTCTTTGTGGGACTTTCTTCTGTTTCATCTTCTTCTGAGATCTACCGCTAGTACCACCACCACCACCAATATTACCACTGCCACTTGCCCCACCACCACTACTACTATTGCTATACTTTTGGCCATGGTCTTCTTGAGCCATGGTTGTGGTCAGCCATACAAAAGATCATTTCAGAGTCATTGATAGTAGTAGTACTGAGCAAATTTTAAAGAGAACCCACAAAATAAAAAAAGAAAAAAAAACCCATCCCCTTTTATACATAGACCATCCAATCCCCATTTGGCATATAAATCAACGCCCCATATTCTTGAGATACACAGAATCTTAGAAAGAAAAAAGAGAGAGAGAGAGAGAGCAGAGAAAATGGAAAATCTTGACAAATTAAAACAAACCCACAAACAGTGAGAAGAACCAAGAAAGAAACAAAATCTGCATAAATAGATTGCATATAATCTCGCAGGTCATGGAGTTATGACCGGCTACTTATATGGAAACAAGAACTTCCCCAAAATTCAGCAAAGATCACAACTTTTTTGAAAAAAAAAAAATGAAATGTTTTTCTATTTACTTACAGCACATCTTCCCTTTATGTGCGTAGACAGAGAGAGAAAAAGGCTTTTTGAGAACGGAGAGAATCTGAAAGCTTCGGATTTTTCTCAAAACCCAGTTGGTAGTGTCTGAGAGACAGATCTCAAAGACAATTTAGCTAAATATGTTTCTGGGATTTTTAACAAAAAGTCGAGTACTACTGGGACTACAACTGCTACTACTACAACAACAACAAAAGAACCCATATTTGTCGATATTTTCTTTTGCTCGTTTCACAGAGGAGAAAATAATAATAATGCCAAATCTAATGCATGGTCTCTTTTCACATTCTTAGTCTAATTAGTCGCCCAAATCCTCGCTCCACTCCTCCTTTTGTTCCTAGACCGACTCTCAAGAAGGTACTTTCTCTGAGCTATAGATACCACACCACTGCAGCAGCCACTTAATTGTGCTCGCTGGATCTTCCTATCTTAAGACTTTCCTTCCAATTTGTAATTCTTCCACATTCCTTTACCCTTTGTTTTTTTTTTTTTTAAATTTACTTTCCATCCTACACGTCAAAATGTGGGTCCATATTCGAGTGGGTAATCATATATATATATACACACACACTATTATAAATCTAAAATCTATGCATGCAGTGCAATTCACCAACAAGAGAAAACTTATTATGTTCATAATTACAAAATCTCTAGTATTTACAAGATTTAATTCCCCCCCCCCCCCGGGGGCAAGTATCTAGATAGGTTGAGTTCTGAAGCCATAATTCTTTAATTAAAGCTAGAATTAAGAAATAATCGTCCGGCTGTAAATTTATTTTACATGGTACAAATTTTTTGGTAAGTTGGAACATTTTTGCTGTCATCAATAGTCGGAATAAATATTAATTGATTTTCTTTCTTAGAATGCTTTGAATCAACAGTTGGCATGTCGCAAATTTACTGGAATTGATTAAAAGTTTTCAAGTCTTTCTAGAAAAGAGGTTGGATTTTCCGGAAATCATATAGCCATTACATCATCGGTGGGGATTGGGGACGAGCGCATTCATTTGTACTTTTCTCCGGCTTTTTTTTTTCTGGTTGATAAGAGTATGATAAGTTTGCTAACATTTCAAAAAAAGGTCGAACTTAAAAGCGACAGCCCAAAAGGAGATTCATGCGATCTCTACGTTGTCCAACGAGATATAGTAGTATTTGATTGTGGTTTATCTAAGTCAAAAAAGGGTTGGATATAATCTAACGCCTTGAGAATGAAAATCTTCTTCTTGATTTTTGCCAGGTTCATACAAAGAAAAAAAAAATCCATTCTCTTTAGAAAAGAATCCAAACTGCTATTTCATACAAATATACACCCCTTGAATTTCTGAATCAGGATTGTGGTTGTGGGATGTGAAAATTTTTGGCCTAGACAAGTCTAAAAAGAAAAGATCGTAGACAAAAGGGCTAATAAGTATAAGAACCTACATTAGCATTTAAACCCGAGTTATCAAATATTTATCCCTGGTCCAATCTATATGTTCCTGCAACAAAATCCTGGTGAGTGACAACAACAACTGGCTTTAGATTCAGCAGTTTTACTTGAGTATTATCAATCTTTTTTTTTTGGAAAAAAAAAAAAAGAAGGAATCATTTCAGAGGTCAAGATAACTGAAAACATCACCAAATCTCCGCTAGCTTTTATGTGCCAATGGATTTGGCTTTCAGAATGGTCCCACCTTAGTCTCAACAAACTGCCTCTAACTTATTGAAAAGAAAAGAAAAGAAAAGAAAACATTTTAATTTGTAGCATCCGGAAGAGGGCCATCCATCGCCACCAGGACAGGACGGTGGAGCCTCCATGACATTGACACCAACTCCATTGTCATTTGTGCATCCAAGATCTTGTTACATGTACAAGATTTAAAGAGCATCTATTTCTGAAGATTCTCTGTCTCTCTCTTTTTTTTTTTTGGCTGTTCTTCATGTTAGTTTTCTTGAACAATTGATTAGAACAGTGGCAAATCTTTAGTGGGATTTTTGCCATTCTCTTATTTTGTTTCCTATACAATTTCTCTTGTTTGGTAGGTTTTGAATACTGCAAAAACTTTTTATGAGGGGATCCAATGATGAGGATGAAATCCCTTCAGGGTTTTTTTTTGAGGAAATTAAGGAGCATGCCTGGTCACAAACTAGTATAATTTGATTGCCATTCCTTTTCTCAGTTAAATAAAAGGCTCTGAGTAAAATCACTTGGAAGAACATGGAAAGAAATATACACGAAAGGGAAAAACCAGATACTCTACTACTAAAACAAAGAGCATGGACCATCATCTATTATGGCTTAGATGCGATTTTAGTAGAAAATCACTTAGATTTGATTTTTTTTTTTAAATTCAAAATCTAATGATGCAAGGGGAAAAAAAAAAAGAATAGTTATTATATTATGCTACATTCATTAAAGTCATGTGTGGGAAATCACACACACACACACACACAAGGAAAAGAAAAGAAGAAGAAGAAGAAAATTATTGAAGAAGAAGGGCTAGAACGAAAGCAATTGAAGAAGGCCAATCCATCTTTTTCAACGACTTGGATTAGGATTTCAATTTGTTGGCCATTCCTCTTTGACAAATCTGAAATCTTTGAAACTTGGCCAAACAAATGCACTTACCCTTTTGTGCAACCTTCACCTCCTCTCCTCATTGTCCCTCCTAAAAGGGAAATTATGGTAAGTGCACAAATAAATATCAGATCTTTGTAGTGTAAGTTTTGGTTTTGAATATATCGTCTTGATGTAACGCCTTTGGCTTTCTTTGAGGCAACTTTTTTGGCATAGGTTACTTGGGTGCTAATTTAAGTTTTTTTTTTTTTTTTTTGCAAAAAAAAGCCTTAACTTTATCAATCTGTGGGCTAACTTTTATTTGTCTTCTTTTTTTTTGGGGGGGGTTGGAGCATAATAATATGATCTGTGTGCTACCATGTCATGAACCAACACGGTTTTCCTCATCTTTGGTTGGCGTTCAATTTAAATTTTGGACATGATATATCACTCATTTAATTTTGGACATTACACATCTGACAACACGTGGTCCCGTAGCTCAGTTGGTTAGAGCGCTGGTCTTATGAGCCGGAGGTCGCGAGTTCGAGCCTCGCCGGGACCATAGCGTGACCAATTTTGATTGAGGTCCATTGGAACCAAATTTGTTGGTCTCTTGGTTTTCTCCAAGAAGTTGCAAGGAAAAAAATAGATAGTTTTTTATAAGGCTCAGAAGATTGCTTCCTTCATTTTATTTGCTAGTTTGGTCCGGATACCAAATAACGATCTGTATGATTTTGTCACCAAAACTCTGATCCTACTACCACTTTTGGGTAGGTCAATGACAAAAGAAGAAGAAGAAGAAAGGCCATCGGAAGCAATTGAATCACATAATTGATTGAACTGGACTGCCAACTGAATACTATGTGCTACCTTATTCCGGCCACCCTCTTTGGTGACAGCTGAGCTTCTTACAGGTCACACAACACCTTCAATCTAGTTGGCTTGTCAAATTTTACCCCATGCAGTTCTAATTTTTTTCTTCTTCTTTTTGCCAAGTATTCATTCAATGTTTCTCCTCTCGCATCAGCATATTTTTCTTATAACTCACCATTCTTTACTTCTTTCTGGAGAGTAAAAATACTCTTGCAGCTAGCTTAACTCCGTCCTGCTTCTAACTTCCCATCAAATTGCATCATTTTTTTTTCCCCATCTAATTTTGTTGCTTCTCAACAGCAACAAAATCTTCCCTTTTTTTCCTGCTTCGTAGTGGGAACAATCCGAAACTGAATTCAGGGATTGAGAAGCCTCTGATCAAGTCAAGTATGGGATCAGGTGATTGGTTTAAAACATTTATTAGCTTAAAGAAAGTGAAGGAAGACGGATCTAAACACGGAAAGGTAACTTTTCTACCCAATCATTATTGTTCTATATCTCCAAACAAGTTGGAACTTCTTGTTTAGAACCTAAAAAAGTACTATACTACTATTATTTCAAAAAATACCCATAATTTTTTTTCCCTCACTATTAGCGAGGTACTTTCTTCACTAGAAAAACAAAACTACTGTTTGGATTGGCCATTTTTTCAAAAATAAAATTTTTAAGTACTATATTACAGTAATACATAAATAAAAATAATTCAAAAAATATCACATCCATACAATATTTCAAAAAATATTTATAATAAAAGTAATTTATATGTGCTGCTATAGTAAAATTTTTCAACACCATCCCATAAAATTACTTCTCCAAACCCCCCCAAACACCCCACATGAGTAAAAAAGTCCTTTAATTGGCTGCTTATTGGGCTCACTCCCTTTGGGTCTTGGACTCTATATTCTTTTCTCACATCTAGAATATGAAATTGTTTGAAACAGGGAAAATCTGCGTCGGCCCGAAAAGCAAATGGGTCCATGTGGAGGTATCTCTCTGGTAAAGAGTCCACGGCTCTGGCTATCACAAATGGATCGTCAAGTAAGAGGTCCAGAAGGAGGGGAATTACAGAGGATACTGCGGCCACTAGAATTCAGACTGCCTTCAGGAGATATGTGGCAAGTGTACTTTAAAGCCTTATTATTATCATTATATTTCTTTTTCTCTCTATCATGGAAATGAACAAAATTTCAAGTTCATTAAAATAATTAAATAAACTTGAACGCTAGAGTATTTGGCTTAATTAGACTCGTTTACATCCCTAATAATCAATCGTGATTGCATCATTGGCGACAATTTGAGGCTATAATTGTAGTGAACTTTTGTTTCTATTTGTAAATTAATTATGAAACACACCCTCAACGGGTACATATTTTTGTGACGTGTGCATCTCTAAAACGATACATCTCAATTCAATTTGGTTTTGCAAAGGTTAATTGTATCATATTAGCAAAATTGAAAGGTTCAGCAGACGTGTGTTGATCCAACTAGACAATGAGAATGAGGAAAGCAATCGGAAAATTATGCATGCTTTGGGGTGCATTTTGCTATTAACCCTTTTCAACTTTACAATGTAATGTAGGCAAGGAAAGCGGTACATCGACTAAGAGCAATAGGAAGATGCAGAGGTGCTATAGCTGCTTTGACCGCCGAAAAGCAAGCATCTTCGGCTCTGATCCATATACATTTTTGGAACAAAATGCAAGCTGAGATTAAAGCTCGTAGACAAGGGATGGTCAACGAAAACCGAATACAGCAGAAGAAGCAAGAAAACAGGCTGAAACTTGAGGCTAAGCTTCAGGAACTAGAGGTAACGAACACAGTTCTCAGTCCAGCTAACTATCAGTTGCCATCCAATTGAATTTGAATGGCCCCTTATTCATTGTTTCCAGTACGGACTGCAGAGCTCATTAAATTGTGAATCAATGTGATCTGTGTCTCTTGTCTCTTGCCAGAACAGAAGGCCCTGAATCCATTATCATCATGTCTTGCTTGTGTTATATAACGGCCTAATAAAGGGACCCTTATGCATATTTTGAATTTCGAGTCCCGAAATTTGGCAACCATGTACTATGTGCTTTGCTTTTGAGGAGCCAAGAGAATGCTGTTGACGATGCTTGCGAAATATGCATCACCAATGCCACCTGATAGGAATAGTAACTTGACATTATCTACCAGTAATGGTTGTATCATTCTAATAATAACAGGTTGACTGGTGTGGTGGCTCTGAAACCATGGAAGAAATTCTCCAAAGGATACAACAAAGAGAAGTTGCAGCTGTTAAAAGGGAACGTGCCATGGCTTATGCCTTTTCTCATCAGGCAAGCTGCTAAAATCCATCAAAATGATCTTTGTTCCTGAACGGCATTGGCTCGAGTTAATAACAACAAAACTATTATCTCATTTTGTAGTGGAGGGCGAATTCTAGCCACTACTTTGGCCAGGCTTATTATGATCTCGGAAAAGATAGCTGGGGATGGAGCTGGAAAGAGAGGTGGATAGCAGTTCGTCCATGGGAAACCAGAGTTCCAGCCAACTCAAAGAAAGTTCATTCCAAGCAGGGAGACAAAGTATGGAAAACCACAAGCCCTGCTGCCATGAAACTCGTTGTCGCAGTTAAACCCTCTTTATTCAACGGGAAAGGTTTGCATCAGGCAAGACAACTCCCTGACCATATTATCGAGAAGCAAGCTAGCCAAAAAACTTAAAAGAGCCAATCAATGATTCAGAACAGGGGGCCAAAAAACCAAAAAAAGAAGAAGAAGAAGAAGTTACAATACCGGTTCTGCGTAAATTATTCTATTCTGGCTTGGTGTGCGACGAAATTGAAGAAAACGGCCCATCATTTCTGTACAGAACAAAGGGAAGACCTGTTGAGATAATCCTACATTACTATTATATACTACTATATTGCTAATTATGTCGATGATGATATTTTACGTCGTTTTGTGAGATATTCATACATGACCTGGATCGAGTATACAATAAGTGTGTACTAGCGTACAAACATTTGTTCGACTGATAGATACTTCTGCAATAATCAGGTGTTTTGGGTCCGTGGGAGGATGGATAAATTAATTTCATGCCCTGTTTTTACCTGATTAATGGTCCAACCCAATGGAAAAGATAGCTCTTTTCGCATTATTTATGTTGTCCATATTTCATTTAAGAACCTAAAAGCAGTACGATCCGACTAATAAATTCAGCACATAGAATCCCGTACCACTTACTGTCGCGTTTCCATTCAGTGGCTGCAAACGAGTACCAAACATCACCTCTCCAACAGCGTTTGAGGGTATTTTATGAAGAAGAACTAATAACATTTGAGGGTCTTTGCTAATACGAACTGCCCTTTTCTCAATCTACATAATCTCTCAAATAATATCTCAATCTACATAATCACATATATTCTGCAAATCCAAATGAGGTACACACCCTCCTGTATAGTACTCATCGACCATAAAGAAGTACCAACAACCATGAGCAATTGTCACCATCTTAACAGCAGCCAAGTCCTACATTTTTCTTCCTTTTCCCCAAAAGAAAACGAAATTCCAGCGAAATTTTGAGATTTTTATGAGGCACAGAGATTTGGCAGATGTAGGGGACCATGAACCGTGCCAAATACTACAATTTGGTGGCATCCATCTCTATATCTTTCCATAATTGAGCTTCGTCACCTCATTTCACCCATAATAATTGCTAGGTTCCTCAATTCCTCATGCAGCTGACCTTCACTTGGCCCCACAGCTTCTGTTCCCTCATTTCATCCATCTACCGCACCCTTTAATTACAGAACATTACCTTAGATTCCTCAATAATCTGACTTTGATGCTAAACCAACCTTGACGGACCTACAACTATGATTCAAATCCACCTCCCTCTTACACAATCTAGATCCTGCAGATCCTGCAGTGAAAGCAACAGCTAAAACGTCTAAATTAATATTCACTTTTTCGAGTAATCGTAAATGGACTCGACAAATTAAAGGCTTTCAACACCTCTCCTCAAATCACTTGCTGCTAAAAAGGATATTTTGGGACTCATTCAATGCGGTCAATCTATACCAGAAAGGCTCAATGGCTTGTAAGACGAAATTAATGAGAATCATTGTGCCAGAATGACTGTAAAAGATACAAAACTTCGAAGCAAATTGAATTGTATGCTCAGCTATCTGCAGTAGCCAGGTACTCTTGACTCTTAATGACTCCGCTGTGCATTGAAAATGACCTGTCTTGCAATGCTCCCAAAACTTCCAGCATCGATAGAGATGTAAAAGATCAGTCATTCTATCAATTCTCTTTGTGGGTTAAGGAAGTTGCTGGAGCATGAAATAATGCATTACAAAGCTGTATTGCATCAAATTGCCAAGAAAGAACCTTTTTTTTTTTAATAGAAAGGACTGTTTCATCTGCATGATGAATTGACCAACCCCATTCGTTAATTGTCCACCTTTTTCGAGTTGAGAAAGCAAGAACAAGCCCAAATACATGCAAACTCATCCATCCTTTCACCTCTCTTGGATTGCCTTGTTATCATAGAAAACAAAATGCTAGTTATGGTAGTCGGATATGCTCTAGGGTGTGACATGAACGTATTCATCAAAGACAGTAGAACTTGTTCAGCAGGTCTAATTCATAAACAGAAATTTAAGCAAACAGTGACAAACATGACAGCAACAGCAATCTGAAATTCGCTCTAAGGCGTCACATGAACATATTCATCGAACACATTGGAACATTTTCAGCAATTCTAGTTCATAAAGAGAAACTGAAGCAAACATGACCACAAAACCAACAGACACAAAGCAAATTCCAAATAACTTAACAAAGTTGAGCTACAAGAGCTCGTTTAAACATGAAGCCAAAGCTGGGAAGTTAAACAAATTTAACATAGCATGCTAAACCGGGATTGAAAAACCTGAAACTACACTCAGAATTCTTCTTCCCGTGGTAGGCGCCATTATTGAGTTAAACTCACTGAATTCTCTCTGCTCCAATTGCAGCAATTTTGAAGCTCTAGCAGCGACAAAGCTGAAAACTTGGAACTCCAAGATTGCCCACCGCAACGGCAATTTAACTCCTGCAAATTAAGCTTAATGTAGCAGTATAACCTTTTCAAAAAGATTCAATCTTTATATCAACTTAATCAGCATTATCTGCAATCAAATTATTGAATTCGAGGAAAATTTACCTGTAATGCAAAAAGAGAGGGAAATTGCAGTTGTTTTGAGCTAACTCAATGGCGAGAATCTGAGGAAGCAGAGGATGGCTTGTCTGATATGCCATCGTGCTCCTCTTCTTCACCTTGAATTCGTGCAGGAATGCGGAACCCTGAGAATCCGCCTACTCCAGGGGCAAATCCAATGCCAGATATCGATGATGGATAAATTGGCAGCACTGCCTGATGGTGTGGAATGTGATGATCTGCAGTGGCGATGGATATAGCTGATGGATCCATCCAAGCACGAATTGAAGGTGTATTAATGGACTGAAGGGGTCCCCTCTGAGAAAAAAGCTGGTTTTGGCCGAACAATTGCTGCAGGAAAGGCTGAGGCGTCGCCTGCGAATTGAACAAGTATCCTCCTGCTCCTGCACCACCACCGTCTCCACTGGCATTCCAAGCACTCAGTCTCTGATGAAACCGGCCTAATTCTGCAGGCTGCTGGTGGTGTTCAGACCAGGCTGCAGCATCATACCCACCAAGTTGAGTATTTCCAGAGAAAAGGGCCTCAGCTTGTTCAGGGTGTTGGCTTGTGGGATGGTTCTGATGATGCTGAGCTTGTTGTTGGTTGTGATGGTGGAGCAAAATGGGATCTTGAAATGACTGCAAAGAAAGCTGCAGATCTTGGGGGTGACTACTGGTTCTTGAGAGCAAATCTGGAGGTGGAAAGCTCTGAAATTGCATAGCTGAGGAATTAGCCTCAGCAGAAGCCCCCATTGGGAAAAAGGACTTGATAGTATCAGCAATTGAGTCCGAGTCCAGAGAAGGAGGCAGAAAACTCGAGCTATTTCCACTTGGATTTGCAGCACTATCAGTTTGGTGCAAGCCCTGTTGGGCATTTTCACTGCCCAACATTGGCATTACCCTTTTACTAGAAGGGCCAGCAGCAATAGCAGCGCCCACCACATCATCATGGTGGGTGACGCCTAAATGTTGCTGCTGCTGGTTTTGAAGATTATCAGCTCGACTTTTTTGGGCTTGTTGGTCTTGCTCAAAACTGGTGTTTGCTGCCGCTGAACCAGTTGTGGGATGCCAAGCAGGTAGTTCGGCAAGCTCATCAATAGCAGACTTGGCTTTCTTGATGAGCCAATCGACAGCTTTACTGGGGCGGTCGTAGCCAAGGCGGTCTTGGACATCGTAGAATTGAATGGCAGTGTGGGCAGATAGCCTCACACGGCGGTCCCTTGGGCCTTTGGCAGTGCAGACCTTGCTGTGGCGGTCTTTGCGCCCCGTAGACCTCACAATGTGCCCGCCTTGGACTTCCACGATCTCGCCGGCCCCAGTGCTGTTCCTTAAACCGCTTAGTCTTGAAGAACTTTGGCGGGTTGTGGGTTGCTGCTGCTGCTGCTGTTGAAGTTGGTGGTGGTGGTGAAAATTTTCTCCCATTTTCTCTCGCAATCTCGCATGTTCGTAGTCTTCCGGTTCGGTTGAAGACGAAGAAGGGAAGTAGGAGCGTTTCTTTGGTGGCTGGGATGTTTCTGGCGGTGCTGCTGATAAATAGAGCAGCTGATGGTTTAGGAGCAGTTGGGATTGTTGGTGGGCTTGGTCTTGTTCTTGTTCTTGTTCTTGTTCTTCCTCTTCTTCCACGTCTTCTTCTTGGCGTCCTGCAGAGATAGGGACTTGGGATGGTTGGTTTGGGTTCGGATAATGATGAGGATGATGATTCCTCTGAGGATCCAGACTCAGACCCTTGTGATGCTTTTGTTGATGTTCCAGCTTTTGATTGATGGTGAGAAAACTTTTTATTCTTAGTGGGCTGTTGTTGTTTGCTCACTCTGTTCTCCACTACTTTCCTCTTCTTTGTTATGCTGCTTCTGCTGCCACAATTCTGAAATCTGATACTGCTGCTGCCTCTTCCAAAAGGCCCTGCCATTCAACCTTCCTAATTCCATCACCCCTCAACCACACAAGAAAAACTCAAAAATACTAGACCCAAAAGGCTAAGCTACCCTCCCACTTAGCCTAACCCATCTCTCTATATTTCTTTTCCCCTTTCCAGAGAGCCTTTATTTATATAGGCTGCTGCTGCTCCTGCTCTGCTGCTCCTGCTCTATTTGCTCTATCTCTACTGCTAGTACAACAACTATTACAACTACTGCAACTGTAAAGAAGTACTTATGGAGAGATAGTACCGAGTAAGAGAACTGATAATTTTGCTTTTGTACCTTTCGGTTGAAGAAGCAGAGAGTCCAAATTCAGGAACCCTCCCAGTAATTTTCCTGCAAAATTTTCATTTTTTTTTTTTTGATAGAAGAGAGAGACCAGGGCAGGGCAGGGCAGGGCACACAGCTGTATAAGCAAATGGGAGGGCTGTGAAGGATATGAAAAAGGGGGAAAAAAAAAAAGGTGACTTGTTTTTTTGGCTATAAGAGCCTTTCTTGATGCCACTGGGAAGAGTGGCAGCGTTTGGTCAGAAAGGAGATTAAAGATATTGGTGATCTCATCACTGTCCTCCTCTGCTGTTTTTGCTTTGCTGTGCTGTGCTGCTCCCCCCTTGTTTTTGTACAGCCTATACAACAAGTACCAGACTTCCAATTTTTCATTTCATTTTTTTTTCTAGTTAAAACTGAAATGGGCTTATTAGTTTTTACTTTACACTACTAATTTCCTCATGTCTCTGGCACCTTCTCTGGTGTCCAGTAGTAGTAATCTACTATTATTTTTAACTTGTTCAGCTTAATTAGTTAAATACAGAAGAGGATGGATGTCTTAGGCTGGAATTTTATATGGTGGGGTTTTGGGGGTTTGGTTTTGGTTATAGAATTGTTTATAGTTAGTTCAAAGGGATGTGTGCTTTGGTTTTTGTTAGATTCTACTTACTTACTTGTCCGACTAAATTATTCTATCTTGTTAAGATAGATAGAGAGGGATGGATTACTTCAAATGCCACCACCACCCCCTTCCTGAAAATGACCTCGTACAGCTTTTGTGGTTTCTCTGGCTCCCTTTCCTTTTTTTTTTTTTTTTTTCC